TCACCAGGCCTGGACTAGGACTGGATCTGGGGGTTCCCAGAACTCGACAGAAATTCCTACTCTGTGGGCGCGGTGTGGGAGGTAGGGATTTGTTCTAATAGTGTTTGTAAAATAGGATGTCATGTCCGCATCTTGTACAGCAATTAACCACTAGGAAGAATGTATGCAATGTGTTAATTATTGAAACTGTCCTACCAATTTGGTTTGAAACTGTCTCATTGCTATTTGTTTCTCAATAAAATTATGGAAAAAAAAAAAAAAAAAGAGTGTGGTTCAATCCCTGGAACCACATGCCACACCAGCCCCACCCCCAGGGTGGGATGAGCCAGTCACAGAGACCAAGCATGGTGGTGCGTACGGATAATCCCAGCACCAGGGAGGCTGAAGGCAGGAGGATCACTAAGAGTCCAAGCTGCATAGTGAGACCCCGCAACAACCAAATCCATTTAAAAAAACAAAAAACTCACTTCTTGTTTAATTACAGTGGGTGCTCTACATGCACATTTAAAATGCTCATCATTTTAAAGGCAAGAACAATGTAGATCTTTATTTTATTTTATATTTTTTTGAGGAACCAGGGTTTGAACTCAGGCCCTTGAGCTTGCCCGGCAAGCTCTTATTCTACTGAGCTATGTCCCCAGCCCTAGATCTTTAACTTGCTTTCTTTTCTTTTTTTTTTTTTTTCTGACTCTGTCATTAGATATTGCTTTATTTTCATTCTGAGTAGCTTCACCAGTGAGTGAGGATGGCCCCAAAAGCTCATGAAATAACAGCCTTCCGGGGACTCCATGGCAGTGGCCTGGTCTATGCCCTGACCAGCAAGGTCACTGGTGTGACTGGCCACGTGAAAGGTTGAATGGCATCATCAGGCTTCTGTGATCGCCAAGTCACAGGACCTAGGTCCTAGGTGTACTGTCTCACTTTTGCCTTCTCCTTTTTTTTTTTTTTTTTTTTAATATGTATTTGGTACAGGGTATGCAGGGTCTGCAGGTTCTATAGAGTCCGCTATGTAGACTGGACTTGTAGTGATCCTCCTGTTCTCAGCCTCCCAAGCACTGGGATTACAGGCACTCTCCACCACACCCACTTTCAATCACCATCTCAGCATGCCACAGGGGCGGGGCCAGCATGGCAAGTTGGGGATCGAACCCAGGCCACCACACTCTGCCTAAGCAGGCGCTTTAGTCCACTGAGCTATCTGGCCAGCCCCAACTTTCTTCTTTTCCACCTTTTAAGAAAAGTACAAATCTGGGCAGGGATGAGGCGTATACAGATTAAATACAAATATGATCATCATAATGTAGTGAAATAAAGCTGAGATCCCACCATTTAGAAATGTCTTCTCAGAAATGATTCAATTAGAAAGTAGTGAAGGACTTGAAAAGACAGTTCTCCAAGGGGACACGGCAGGACCAACAGGCACATGAGAAGGTACTCGGCATCACCAATCACTAGGACAGTGGAGATCAGTGTGCCGTGAAGTACCACTTCCTACGCTTCGGGATAGGTGGCATCTGCAACCAACAGAAAACACGTATTGGTGAAATGTGGAGCGCCCGTGGGCACCTCTGGCGGAGAGGTGGAATGGTGCCAGCTGCTGTGGAAAGAATCATGGGCAATCCCTCAAAAATTAAACATAGATTTACTATATTGCAGCACTTCTGGACATCCAAAGAAATCAGAACAGGAGCTCTACCATATATGTACATCTGCACTCACAGCAGCATTATTTATAATAGCCAAAAAGTGGTCCAAGTGTCTATCAAAGGACAAAGGCATCAGTAATACATGGAATATGCAGGCAACAGAATATTACTCAACCTTACAAAAGAAGGGAAATCTGACATGTGCTATAACGTTCATAAACTTTGAAAACAACACACGAAGTGAATTTAGCCAGTCACAAAGGGGCAGCTAGCTGCTGTCTGATTCCGCTTACACAAGGTGCAGAGTCAAATTCATAGACACAAAGTGGAATAGTGCTTACGAGGACCTGGGAGGTAAAATGAATGAAGAGTGATTTTCTCATAGGCGCAGTTTCTTTCCATTTTGTAGGATTAGCAGAGTTTTGTGGGACCAGCAAGATAGCTCAGCAGAGGAAGCACTTGCTTAGGCAAACGCCAGGACTAGGCTGGGTCCCTGGCACCCCTTGCCGCACCGGCCCCGCCATAGAGTCCGGGCGTGGTGGTGCACGCCTGTAATCCCAGCACTGGGAAAGCTGAAAACAGGAGCATCACTATGAGTCCAATCTGCATAGTGAGACCCTGTACCAAAAAAAAAAAAAAAAAAAAAAAAAAAAGAGTTCTGTGGATGGATGGGTGACTAACGCAATAATGCAATTATACTTAACGTCACAAAACTGTACATGTAAAGATGGTTAAATTTAATGTGATGAACATTTTTCACAATAAACCCTCTCCTACCCTTAGAGGCAAAGATCAAGGCTACACAAGCTTTGCTGCCAAGGAAGGAAAATAAAATGGCCCTTGAGTCTCTTCTACGTACCAAGAACTCTGTTATTTACACACAAAAGCAAAAAGCAAGCCGAACAAAGCCTATGCACTACCAACCCTTCTTTACAACAAACACACTAAGTAAGTTTCATTAATTAATTAATCCACCGGGTCAAGTAGTAAGAAACAGAGGTAGGAGCCAAAGCTGAACCTGCCTGACGTGGAAGCCTCTGTTCTTTTCACCCCCTGGTGTGCTTTTCTTCTCCCCATAGAAGTCTCTTGTGAGCAGGCTCTCTGCTTTGACTACAGAGCTTCTAGACTTAAAAGTTGGGTCTGCCTTCTGAAGTCTACTAAAAAGAGTCAGCCAAGCAAGCACACCGTGCCACTCCGTGCCCACCACATGAGGCCCCAGGGCTGGCCGCAAAATAATGGAATCACGTTCCCATTCATCCGCTGGCCATATGCTAGGGGAAAGACACAATTAAAACTGCAGGCGACTCCCTCAAAAGCCACTGAACACTCTAAACAAAAGCGTTATGGCTTTCAATGTTCCATATGGCCAGGATAAACTAGCCCCCTTGTGTTCATCTTATTCCTGAACATTCTACCATCATAGTTGCTGGTGTGCTGTTACTAATATTCTGCTTCAAGCTAGAATTGAACAATTAAGGAAATGTTTTGGGCTGTACAGAAAATAGGCACCCCTTAGTTGTTTGCAGAAAGATAGTGGGGGCCCTCATCACTCGACTAGATCTGTTGATCAAGGTTTTATCTTCTTACTCTTGTGTGGAAGACACAAAGAAGAGTAGTGCATATTTTCTGCACCTCCCCAAACAAAGCAGGGTGTGGACACTACCTAGAGCCTCCATCCTGCACATGGACCAGCACCAAAGTCCGGCCCAGATTCCCAAAAGTCTACCTCATTTCTCGCCATGCAGCTTGACTGTGGGTCACTGTGGCCCAGCCCAAATCTCCCACATGGAAAGATTATTGCCGCATATTTCACGCAAGGATGCAAAAGGCAAGGGAACTGTGGAATCGGAGACATGCCTTGGTCCTCGCCCAGCTTTTATGAATTCAGGGAAATCTTCAGATGGGCTACGTGGCTTCAGTGCCAGGAATACTTTGTCTCTTAGGAATGGTGCAGCTTTACTTTAATGAAAAGCCCCAGAAAAAATACACATTTTTCTTTAGTTTCTCTGTAAGCTTCCTGTCTCTGACAATGCTACTTGACAAATTCCAGGGAGCTAAATCAGTATTATAATAATGGGAGAAAACAAAACAAAAGCAACAACGACCTAAACGCTGCATCCAGTCGCGCCTAGGGACCACCAGAAAGGTAGCTACATTCTCCATTGGAATCATTCGCACTTTTAAAACTTGTATTTTAAGAATTTATGAGCATCAGCATATGCCATTTTATTTTTTACTCCACGACAAGCAGTTTTCTTTCTTCCTTTAAAATTATAAAACCTTCCACTATAAAAACCCTTTTTATCAATAAGCACACTTTTTGTTGAAGATACAAAGCTCGATGCTTAAAAAAAATCGTGGCACCCGAGGCTGTTGAACGATTTCTGCCACATATCCTGCCACAGGACCCTTGGTCTCAGCTCGAGCCCTATTTACCATACTTTCATCAATCATTCATAAACGTGAACAAGTCAGGCCTCTCATTAATAGCACCTATAGCTCAGGAAGCGGGAGCACAGTGATTATGCTTGGGCCATACTACTCCGGGCTTGCCACATGCGTGAAGGCAGCAGCCCCGCTCAGGTTACTTATGGTCTCTGATGAGGCTGACTGCCCCCGACCTGGAGGTGCATTGAGTCCGCGTAAACAGCACGTCCATGCACATGCCTCAGTTACTCTCCCTGGGCTGCCACGCTCCTGCGAACAAGGATGCAACTCTGGGCTGAGACTCGCTGGCAAATGGTAGCAGCTGGCGAGGCTCCTCTGAGGACAGCCATACAGAGCCAAGGGAGGAAGACACCCTGAGGTTTTTTTCAGAGGTAAATACAGTCCCTCATGTAGGCAAAACGACTCTTTGTCGGCAAGATAAATAAATAATAAAATAAAATCTCAGGACAAAAGGACTTAATCCGCTAGCCCCCCAAAGCCAAATCACGGCCATTGTATTGCAAAGCAGAAGGCAGAAAGAGAGAATGCGCCTCAGGTTTCCCACCACTTCCACCCCAGCGGGGGACTGCAGCTCCGATCCTCAGACCCCAGCTCGCCGGCTTCAGCTGATCCAACTCAGTCCCGCTTTTCTTCTTCCCACAGAGCTGGGCAAACCGCTTCTCACATCTAGCCTGTTTCCCCGGTAAGTCCCCAAAGCTAGGCACGGAGGACGATTTTTGTTTAAAGCAAATGTGTCACACATTTAACCATCATCCCCAAAGCCCTTCTAATCCTTCCCCCCAAATTCTGAAGCAAGGTACCCAGCTTCCCGTAGAAATCTGCCCTAAAATAAGAAGAACCCACGGCACTGGTCCATTTCTTTTCCCCTCCATTAGAAAGGAGCAGCACAGAAAACGTATCCTTTACCTTGGCCCGGGGCTTGGTGAAAGAGCGGCTTCCCTGGCAGCGCTGCGCTTGCTTGCAGCGAGCTCCAGCCCAGCCCGCGCAGCCGTCCAGCAGTAGTAGGAGTCGCCCCCTGAGCCGCGGCAGCGCTGTGTGTGTAGGGGCGGCTGCAGCCCGGGGACTGGTCCACACCCAGCTTTGTCTTCAATCAGCGTTCAGGCTACAGGAAGCAGCTCATCTCCCACTTCCTCCTCTTCTCCGTAGCTGCTAGCAGCTTTCTTCCTTTCCCTCTCTGTATTTCAGGCTTACGCTAGTGATTTTGCCAACTCGCCGGGGTTACTGAGGGAGGTTTGATTGCCACCCTCTTGAGCCCTTTGTTCCAGGTCCTTTGGTGCTGTGGGCAGGCCTTCCCTTCCCTTTTCACTCCTGACCCTCAACCCCCGCAGCCTCCACTGGCCCTGGGACCCCACTTCTTGAACCCCCTGCTACTTTTTGAGCCTGAACTTAATTTCTTGTTCTCGTTCCTGCTTCTGGTACTGTTTTTCCTGGGTCCCTGGCCAGGCTCTGGCCCTAGCATGCAGCCCCAGCCTCAGCTGCACTCTGTTTTACAATGGTTCCCATCTCCTTGCAGTTGGCAGCTTGTAGCTGCGGAGTTTTCCTCTGTAGCCAACAATCCAGTAGCTTCATTTCTCCCAGGCCCGCTACCACTCAGACTTTACTTAACCCACATGCTCAGCAAAACGCAGCCCTGGCAAATGTTTCTGTGGGACGTGGGGACCAAACTAAGCCCTGCTGTGTGGGCCATGATGCCACAGCAGGTTTGCTTAACTGGGAGGAAGGAGGTCACACTGAAAGCTGTGGATTCCCAGCCCAGAAATACGAGCCCTTCCTACACCCAGGTGGGGCCCAGAGGATCCCGGTGGCTCTCCAGTCCTGACTTCATTCTAGACGGTACCATTGACATGGATAAGGGCGGAGCCAGCAGCCAATCTGTCTGCCAAAACAGAATCCAAGCTGCCATTCCTGCCTTTGTCAGTTTGGGCACATCCTTCGACCTCCATGTGCCTTCGTTCCCTGGTCAGCAAAATGGGGACGGTGATGGTCACACCCCAGAAGAGAAATCAGGATTAACACTGAACAGAGATGCCACGAATAGCTCTGGGAGAGTACTAAGTATTCAACACGCTCTAGCTCTTACGATTTTTAGAGGAGGCTAAAACTCAGAGGTGGCAAGTGACTCGTGCAGTCAGTGGTCAATCCAGGACATGCGCTTGGTCTTGCAGTGCCCCACAGTTAGTACAGCTATGACTTAGCCCTGAGTATTGCACCATTACTCAGTTTTGGAGTCATTTTCCCCTTGTTCTATAGCCCAGACAATGCTTAGGAGTTGAGAAACTCTCCCTTGGAATCAGTATCCAGAGAGCTGATCTCCTGGCAACAGAGCCCACCCCCAAGTCCACTTCCTGTGTCTAGTGCTTCCTTAATCTTCCTGCAAGACAGGAAATGCTAGAAATCTAGGGCTGACGCAGGATAACTCACCCAGCGGGCCTTCCTAACACACCTTGGGGACCACAGCCCATTCTCTGGCAGGTACCGAATTTAATTTCAACAAAATGTTCTGAGAGAGTCCCAGGGTGAGCTTTGATTTAATGTTCCATGAACAGAGGTTACTTAGTTTTTCCTAGAAATCTTCCACCAGAAAGGACCTGATGTCATCTCACTAATATCTGAAAATTGCAAAACAGATTGTTTAAAGATGAAGACCAGGGAGCTACTTTTGAACCACCAGCAAATAGAATTATAGTATTAGAGAAAGATTTGGCAGAGGTCCAATATATTGTGAGTTACCACCCAATTAAGAATCCTGGTGCCAAAGGTTACTGGGACCTTTTACATGCAAATTTAAACATACATGACCTACGCTAACTCTAAAAAAAAAAAAAAAAAAAAGAAACATGTTACTGATGAAAAGATTGTGGAAACTGGAAACAAGTTTTAGTTAATTTTAGACCAATGGGTTCTGGCATTAACGCTGGATTCAAATAGATTTTTTAAAATAGTTCTTACAGTTTTTTTTTCACTCATCAGAAAGTGGTTGGTACTTATATTTAAACCTATATAGGAAAACCTCTTCCAAACAATAAAATCCCTAGGAATTTGGCCTGCTGCCTTCTAATCTGGTCTTCCATCTCTGGCTAAAAAACTCATAGTAAGTTAATCTGGCTATGGCTGGGAGGTACCAACCAAACTCTCTTCTAAGCTAAAAACTAGGTAGTAAGATTTTTCTCTTCCTGTCATGAACCTGTTTTCAATTCCTCCAAATAGCCTCTTTTTTTTTTTTTTTTAAAAATTTAACGGTTCCTTTTTTTTTTTTTAAATATTTATTTATTTTTATTACATTTATTTATTGTGTGTGTGTGTGTGGCCAGCTCAGCCCACCAGGGGGCGCGTCTGGCTGGCATGTGGTGCTGGGGATCGAACCGCAGTCCCTGTGCTTTGCCAAGCTTGTTTCAAGTAGGTGCTTTAGACCACTGAGCCATCTCTCCAGCCCCCAAATAGCCTCTTTTTTAGGAGAGAAAAGTAGAGTGGGGCTATAGATTAGCCAATGGAGAAGATTAATCCAGTTTATAGCTCTTAACCCAAACATAGTAAGTACTAAAGCTGCAAAATGTTCAGATTTTAGACAAGTGGTAGAATTTCATCTCACCATTATAAGCTCACATCATCAATTATTAGACGTGACCCTTTCTTAGATGCATTAGATCAATGGCAAGACAAAAGCCTAAAAAATAGTATTCATCAAGAGCCCCACTTGCAGGAATTAATGCGTTGTATTTCTTACACATGGTAGAGAAGATCGATAATGGAGGACATGTAATTTTGGCCTGCCTGAGCATTCAAGCTGGGTGTTCCTTAGAGTTCTTATGTTTTACAGTCCCCAAATTATTTTTTATACACTTTCCTTTATCCAAAGCCTACTCCTCTTTCTATAGTCTCTATTTTATTTAATGAAACATATAAATTAGTTGCCCACAGAAATGGAATAATCTCAGAACATTTTCTGAGTCTGGAAACTTCTGTTTCCCAATCTGATTTATAAAGCTCTTCAGGCCAGGGAGATACCTCAGTAGAATAAGCGCCTGCTTGGCAAGTGCAAGGACCTGAGTTCAATCCCTGGTACAGCATAAATAAATAAATAAATAAATAAGCTCTTCATCTTTCCATCGTCCCTTTCCAAATTATTTCTTTGCCTGAGTGCTTCCTCTCTCTTTCCTGGGTCACTGTCCTTTTTCCTAAATGTTGTGGATTTTCTTGAACAACGCAACACTCCACATTTTGTTCTCCTAATTCTGGTCTTTCTTTAATCCATTCCCACCGGAAGTACATTTTTAAAAAAGAAGAGTTGATGCTATCACAGTTGTCACCCGTCACTTTCTCCCTGCCCTACGGTTTATGGCCCACAAAGCTTTCTGTGGTGCTACCTGCGCATACTCCAGCCACGGCGCCTGTTGTCACCCCCTGCCTCCCTCTCAGAAGGCTCCTTGTGAAGCTCTGTTCTTTTCTCCCCGGCCAGTTGACATGCTGTTGATGCTGCTAGACAGGCCCTGTTCCCATTGTATCTTCTGGAAAACCTTACCTATTCTGCAAGAATCTCCCCTTGTGAGTACGTGGTAGCTTGCCTCGGCCTCCTCTTCAGCACCAATTAGCTGAATGATTTGCTCCTGTCCATCTTAGCCATTAGTAAGTGGGCCTCTAAGGTTAGGGCCATGTTTCGCTCCTCTTTGCTGCTATTTGCTTAGCTAACGAAGCAGACAGCTTACAAATGTTTGTATGTAGATCAGACATCAAGAGGAAGAAATTCCCAGATGGCTTTTGCATCCCTTTCGGGGCCTAGAGAGGGGAAAAAGGAAGTCTGAAGTGAGAAGTTGGCCATAGGGGAAGAAACAAGAATTCTAGACTTCCTTTGGCAAACTGCAGAAAACAATACTGCACACAGACAAAACTGTGAACATTTGTTATATAGGCAAACCTAAAGAGTTTGGGGGCAATTTCTGGTCCCATTTCTGCCCTTTGTTGCTTATAAGGAAGTACAGGCTGGCAATAAAAAAAAAAAAAAAAGTAATTAAGGAAAAAATGTTAAAAGAGGTGGGAAATAGGAAAGAAAATTGTTCTTTACCTACCTCTCTGGAGAGGCTTTTAAGAGCTCAATTTATAAGACAGAAACCCTTCTCCCAGCCCCCCTTCCCTTTCTGGCCTTCACTGCCTCACAGCTGGTAAATAGCCCGGATGTCAAGTTCCCAGCATACCTTGCGGCTCTCTTCAGCCAGCTTGTAGTTGTTTCCTGCTTTGATTGCCTTCCCTGGCCTGGCCCGCTGTACCTCTGTCGATTCTGACCTCTCTCTTTCTGTCTCTGGTCTCTTGCTGCTGTCTCAAAGCTGCTCTTGCGTGCATGCTCTGGCAGTGAGGGGGAAAGGTGGGATTGAAATAAGGAAGTGCATCGTATACTGTGTTCACGCGTCTCAGCCCCTCACAGGTACTGATGCTGCCTCTCATGACTCACTTAATTGTTGTACATAGTGGTGAACAATAAATAAGTGGGCCAGTGAGCTGTTGTTTTAACATAGAAAAGCCACGCTTCCCGACATTTCTTGAATCAACTAAAGGGAGTAGAAGCCCCTCTACGACACAGCATCATCATGCTGTGATCTATGGATCATCCTCTCCCCCAGGCGTCTCAGCCTACCCCCAGTTGGTGGGGTCTGAGGAAACTGAATCGCATCTGGTTTCAAAGAGTTGAGTGTGGGGGACAGAACTGATCTTTCTAGAGAGAACAGCTGGCCTTCACTACTGACAAATGTCGGTCTGTGTCTCAAAGTCCAGCATAGAAGTGAGAAGGGTAAGACATGTGAGGCCCAACTTCTTCCAGAAGGGTAGTGTTAGAACCAGTTCTCCTATCTCTTAGGACTAATTTGGGGATCAAATAGGACAGTGCGAAAGCCTCCCAGACTTGTTTCTGATGTGATTGTCACACACATATACAAAGGGTGATCAGAGAATGGTGCATGTTTAAGTTAGAAAATATTTAATACAGTAAAAGACACGTTACCATGAATCCCCTCAAAATCCTGCCTCTATGCTTTGCACACACTTTTCCCACCATTCTTGCCACTTCCTGAAGCAGTTCTGCATTCCTCTTTCTTAAGTGTCTTCACAAGGTGTAGGCAAAAACATGGTGAATGCTGCTGCCAAGTACCATCCACCAGAAAGGTAGGCTTATAAAGCTATCAGAGTGT